CGCAGAATCAGATTCTGACTTTGTATAGCGGTGGTAGCATCATAAAGTAACGCTCATTTGAAGGTTAGAAGGTATAATACACTGAAAATGGTTCACTTATCTTATTTGTTAACAGTTATAGGTTTTACATTTGAGTCAAAAGCACTTCTGTTTGTTTCCTCCAGCTTATTATGGGAGTCATCATGTTGCTCCTTCTGTTTCGACATTGAGTCCGGAGGGTATCCTTGTATATTGAGGACGAGCTCGAGACATATTGGTTTTTTTTCTGCATATGTTAATGCATTTGAGAAATTGTATGGGAATATATTGCATTGAATCAATTTAACACAAATCATTATTGAATCTATAAAAAGATATATAGTCTTTAATAGATTTATCAGTTTATTGCACTTTATTTCAAAAATGAATTCGTTGTTGGTAGCATATAAGTACAATTTGTAGTACTGCATAAAATAGGTCCTTTCGCTCATTCGGCGTAAACCCCTACAAGGTTAGCGCGGGTAAAAGAGGGTAGGCAAAAGAGCTATAAGGACCTATTAGTTAGTAGTTAGTAGGAATAACGATATAAACTAACCTCGAATTGATAACCATTATCTGTTTATCTGACACAGCTAATAGAGGTGATATTAACAATATCCAATAAATGAAAATAAACCAATTTTATAAACCAACAACATAGCGATCTTATATCTAATACAATACAATATATACATAATGTAGATGTATACATGAGCACATACACATTAATGTAAACCCTAACCCCAAAAGTATCCCCCACCACCACCCCATCCTTCCCTCAACCATCCCCAGTCCCTCTCCGGTCCATACAACAAGCACTCGATACAGTCCATAAATCTATCGGTACATCTCTGTAATACCCATCACTTCCTTCCTGTCCCCCAGCAATGTAATAACCTAATTATAGCATTACCCCCCCCCCCCGATTATTTTCCCCCTTACTATTATCACACTATACATTAAAAAACCCACAAAATGTCGGAACGATGAATAGAACCAAGTGAAAGACACGAAAAGAGTAGGCGTGGTAACGCCGGCACAGAGGATAGGGTAAGCTTTATTTTCGGCCGTTACAACTAGGTTCCCTTTATAAAGACATTTAGAAGGACTTCAAAAATGTATGTATCAATCGAATTTTTAGAATAGTCAGGAGCTGGTGTGGATGTTAGCGGCTCTTTACCTCACTTTCGGTCCAGACGTGGTGCTGCTATACGACTAGTGTTAGGTTAAGGCAAATATTAAGCATATGAGCCGTCTAACAAAACTCTTCTATCCCTTTATCCATACTTTACTTCTACTCATTTTCCCGTCTTTTCCCCGTCTGCTGGATAACCGAACTACTCGGTAGTGAAGCGGACGTAAAACCTTTCAATCAAATCAATACTGTAGAAGTGCATTTCTACGTGTGAACACTGAGGGTAACTAGATAATTATCAACATGCTTATAGTTTCTCTCAAATGATATCACCAATATATTGTGGACGATCAGTTATATCACTTTATGACCTTGTGTTACTGAACACAAGTAACCTATCTTTTTCATACTGGTGACTTGTGAATATGCTGTGTTGTTAAGATAAGGATATAAAAAAGATGCTGATGTAGTCACAATAATAGTGTTGTAAGGATGTCATAACAATGAAGATGATGACTCATGTAGTGGTTTTATTTTTTAAAATAAAGAGGTAGATGCGATATGTGTCCAAGTGTTTTAATAAGCCATACCTTGACAAAGGGTCCAAGTGTTTTAATAAGCGATACCTTGACAAAGGGTCCAAGTGTTTTAATAAGCCATACCTTGACAAAGGGTCCAAGTCGGAAAGGTTGCGCCACGTTTGATAGTATAATGATTATATCAAATGTAAAACTTTTTAGAATGAGATATTTTATTTGCAATTGTGAAATATGTTTTAAAAACATTTATTTATATTATAAATGCCATCTTATGTTTTTAAATAAAAGAAGAAATTGCCCCATATTAAGCCGGTGTCAAAACAAGTGCATCCAAATAATGTTTTGCTTCCCTCAAAGTGGCGTTTCCTCCATCACATGTGGTGACCTTCAGCACATGTCCTGTAAAAAACCAGACTGTCGATCACCAATTCTCTACAACACAGTGAACATTTTGAAAGTATGGCACGCACATAAATCGTATAGTTGGGAACCAAATCAATATGGCAAACAAACTATTTTGCATGTAATACAGACTATGACATGATATATTGTTAAGAATAATTCAATGTCACAAGCAAGATAAACGAAAAGCCAAGTTAAACTTGTTCCTGCCCACAAGAGTTATGTTGAAATATCAGTCAATAAAGGTGACAATACCTCTACTACAATATGTTCAATAACATTTTTCAGGTGTAATGCAAAATTGTTACTTGGTGTTGGGCGAATATGTTGGTTGGTGCAAGGCAAAAATGTTAGCCGGTGTTAGATGAAATTATTACCAAATATATTATATAATTAGTAATTTTTGACTTTTTCTTGCCTTTTGTCCAATTTCGGCTGTAGGGGTGAAACAGTCAAAACTGTTTTCCCGGTCAGAGCGAACTGTTACCCGGCGCGAATTAGATGCGCAGAAATCCCCTTCGGGAGTTCCGTTCAAGCGTTTCGGTGACCGCGACTCGGTGTTGAAGTTATGGTATTGCATGCATCATTGATACTAATATTTATTTGGTCATAAAACAATTGTTTCAATGCTATTTGGGGAACAGTCAAAGCGGCCTCGGGAAAACAGTTCCCCAGGGCTCCCCCCTACCGAGGGATGATAGTTTTGACTGTTCCCCAAATAGCCATGAAACAATTGTATACTGTTAGCTGGTGTAAGGCGAACAGGTCAGCCGTTGTAATGCAAAAATGTTAGCTGGTGGAAAACGAAAATGTTAGGTGGTGGACGGCGAAAATATTACCTGGTGTTTCGGTCACACTTGAATCAGATAGCACACTGACATCCTTACAAATAACAGTACCGATGCATGTTTCATGCACTCTCGATTCGTCGGCAATAATTAGAAACAGTATAGACCCTAGTAATGAAGGTAGCGAAGGAAATACCTTCACTCCTTTAAAGCTATTGACTTAATTGTATTCATTGCTTACCACATTTCAAAGGTTTTACTCACCATGACACCGTGTCGACGTTGTTACTAAGACAGATGTACATCAATCAGAACCCACATTACAACAGGCAATCGAATTTTCTCCTATCTGCCATTAATACATTTTACTGAGAACAGATATATTGCGCCTTGCTCACGGTTTGTTTGTGTGTTTGGGAATAGTACGAGCAGAGGTTCTTTTTTAGTAGTAGTGTGTTTATGGGAGGGTATTTATTAAGGGGAAACACTTCACTGACTGGTACGATTTGTTTGACTGAGATCGAGATAATTTCCTAAGAAATATTGTGAACGTTTATTTGACCTAAACGTTGTTGTGTTTGGCATTAAGAGTGATTTACGTTGTTGATGTAGTGAAGGGAGATTGTGGGTGGTTCTCCCTTAGAAGAATATCGAGATACAGGAAAAAAAGTTGCTCTTGCATAGTAAGTGGGTGTTATATTATTAGATTAATAATCTAAACATATCATAACAGTATAGTGGTTCTTGCTCTGATAGTATTTTCGAGTGGAGGTAGTCCAGAAAGCATATTATTATATAAGTAGAAAATGTCCTCAACAAGTGTTGCTTTCCTCGGCCATTTATATGTGTACCTTCTGCAGATGATTTTGAGGAATACTCATTATGTCGTACCTGCACTTGATGCGCCCGTCTGAAAGAACTGTAAACGTGGTGAAACAGGACTTCGGCCCATACTGATATCAATTGGTCCATTGTTTCATAATTGTTGTAAAACAAATAAAGTTTATATTTTATTATGTAATGGGTCATAATCCGCAGTTTGTCTGAAACTTATTTCATATGAATGCCTAAAGCAATGCAAGACGCGTCGTTGCAAACATAGCAAATCCTGAATTTGACGCACAGCACTGCGTGCATGTCAGCAGCAGAATGTAATAAAACAGGGGAAAAATAGTTTTTATCCATAGAAAACTCAAAATGAGGCACCTGTGTATGAGACTATTTGCCCCGTCATGTTTTTATTGGCATCAATGAGAAGATTTTATTTGGAATCCTAACACCAAGTTCTCATACGTGCAGTACAAGTACTGTATAAAACGCATTGATGGTTTACTCATTTGCATATTCAGCATCTACATAGCAACGTTGACCCTCAAAGGAAAGGTTTAGATGGTCTTAAACTAAAACTTTCCTTTGGAGTCAGGCTTGTTTTATTTCGTTGACATGGATTGTGTAAAAATCAGGATTTTGCATTCAATAGGTGAGGCACTACATGTACGTCCTACTTTGCAAATCATATTAAAAAGTTCACAAGGGGAAACTTCAGAGTGCATCCGCATTTTCTCAAAAACAGAGAGATGCTGAATTCACATCTCCTCATTTAGTGTTCTTCCAATGAAATACAAACAACGGCAATCGAAACAATGTACAGTAAGCATAACGTATACCAACGTCCATCATGACTGTTTGTTTACTCAATGAAGAGTCTAATTTCCCCCACGTCTACGCCGTATACAGGTACAGAATGTACAGGATGATCCGTTTTAAGGAATGTACATAAACTAACTATAATAAATCACGTTTCATTAAGCTGTACGGAGCTATATTAAATTTCTATATCCGTGTTGTCATATGAGGTCAGACTTACATCTCGTTTATGAGAGCTTAACAGTTTTCCCCATCACAACAAATATTGATATCAATTGGTTAAAATCGCCAGTATTTTTATTTAACGCAACATCGTCACGCCTCGGTTCATCGGTGAATCGTTTCCTCCTACGATGAAATGGTTACAATTATATGAAATTACAGTATACACCACTGTAAGCACATTTTATCGTGTTGTGTAAACTGACTTAACAAAACTTATTTTTGGATTTGAACTGTTTTAATTTGCAGTGCGATCCCGGGGTTGGAACAGATGCCTTCTACGATCTGATTTACAGACGTCCTAGAATACTCATGGTGATTGGCAGCGCGTGCTCGGAGGTCACCGAAACTCTTGCTGAAATTGTGCCTTATTGGAACCTCATTCTTGTAAGTATGTCTGCAATGTAACAGAACTGAAACATAGCTAGAAGGACAGACTGATACTAAATGAAGTCCTACTTTCCATATAAATTAATTCATTTCTGTGCATGAATATTCTGTGTATGTTGCTAGGGTTTTAGTGAGGTTGAATTGCTAAGTAAATATGTACCTTCATTAGCACACTGGTTAATGTATCGTATTTACTAAACGTCGATTGATCGTTGTTTTCTTTTGTATTGATATATGTATGAGAAAATATTTACAGGTATCATATTTCTTACTCGCCGGATGTAATCGTTGGGAATTTCTTTTTCGCAATTTTGGAAACACTTCTCGCTGAAAAAATAACAAATAAAAAGCAAATTACTTCGCCATTGACACTTAATTTGAAATACGTCAAAAATAGAATTTCAAAATTCACAATTTTCAGTAAACGCAACAAAAGGCCCGTAAAGTAGTTCTGCAGTGATTTCTGTGGATATAGAAAACAACAAAGTGGTTTACAGCAAACAAATAGCAAACCTACAGCAAATATACAGCAGATACTCAGTATATTTTTGGTAAATGTACTGTACAACGCTGCACATCTTTGCTTCACTTGGAACGCGTACATTGTACGGAAATTCTACCAAAATATTGAGATAGAAAAAGCCGTTTCATTGCTTGCAGTCTTATTGACACGTCAACGCCTCTTGGCCACTCCTTTAAACTCGTGTGAAATTAACTCTGAGCGTGTGTTTGGTTTAGCGTTGAGTGATAGATGGTTACCGCCGGAAAGAATTCCGCTTTTTTATTGATTCCGAACAGGAACCTATCACTCACTAATACTTTCCGAGACAGCGACATAGATAAAAAAGTAGTTTGAAGTTATATTAAATAAAATACATCATTACACGTTACAGTTTACGTATAGTGGATGCTGGTAGCATTACGGTATACGCAATTGTATATTTTGTGACAATAATGCAAATCTATTTCCCGGTTATCGAGTTAAATTCGGAGCACAATTTAAAATGGTACGAATATTAAGCCATCTTATACAGAAAGGAAATTCGTTCAGAAAGTAAACTTGTTTCAACGAGAGAAAACGAGATTGGTAAAGGCATTGTACCATAACAAGATTTATTGCTGGTATGCAGAGCTGCCAGTTTGTAACACGGCAGAAGTAACGTACAGATGTTTAATCTCACCCAAAATAGTTTTTAATACAGCTACATTGTCAATTTCCCTTTTTGTTCACATCAGTGAGTGGCAATATTATTCATGTACAGCAATAAAATAATTCCTTAATGCCTGACCAACTTGCTCCAGGAGCCCGCTAAATGTCCCCGACAGTGCAGACTGTAGCGCGGTTACCAATATCAGGCTGCAGTTCCTGTTTCCCTTCCTCTTAAGTCTCCGTGACTGCGGTGGACTCACGTAATGCAGCTCTCCCAATACCATTTCACTGATTTGATAAAGCGTAATGTGATATATTTCTTTAAAACGTTATTGTTAATTGAAATTATCTTTACCGAGGGATAACAACACTAAATGCTCGAAATGAAATTCAACAACGTAATTGAGGCATTCAGTAAATATTTGTATTTAAACAAATATGCTTGAATTGCTCTTAAACACGGTTTTGAGTGGAGCTTTAAATTAATTAGTTCTGTAAAACACAATTAATCTGAAGTCATTAACGAGCTACATAACGATATCCACCAGTTTACTAAACGATATGTAATATCATGCTGACCTGGGAAAATATCAAATGCACCATGCCGTTATGCCATAAGCGAATGAGCAAAAAATTTGTTTACAAAAGACAACGTTTGTTGAATATAAATGAACGTCTACCATATCTGTTCTAAGGTTTCTCAGATGCCCTTCATATGTTTACAATACAATCTCATTATATGAATTAACAATTAACAAAATCACAATTTGCAATGACAGAATACACTGATCAATCGATCCTTTACATAAATACGAAACGAATACTTAAATATTGCTCGCATACACATGTCTATTGATCAGCTAGGTTAATGGCGAATTGCTTTTGTCAACTTAAATAAGTAAGACTGAAGCAACGTTGGATTTAGTTTTTTTGTAAATATAAAGTGGATTCCATGATGATATATTTGAAACTTAGTAGAGATCATATTACATCTGCATCCACCGATAACCATTTTGGTTTAATCAAGACATTTGGGAATAACCTGGAAACAAAACATGAGTTGAGGCTTAAGGATGTACACCTCTGAGAAGTCAAAAAAATTCCTGTATTAAACTTTTTTTCTTATATTGATTTTTGGGAAAAGGAGATAATGGCATAGTAGAAAATGCAAAAAAAAAATATGTCCGTGTGTTCGTTTTTGTGCTATGATCGGTCAAAGATACCAATTTAACACAATGGGTGAATTTAGGTGAATTTTCGGGTTTTGACCATTTGCAGAACAAGTTCATACAATTTCTTCCAAGTTTGTTATCAGATATGTATGAATGTTTGTAGAATTGATAAAAATATTATTTTCTTTTATATTATGGGAGTAAAATTTCTTGATCTTATTCATTTTACTCAGAAATGCGACTTTAGTTACCCCTACCCCTTATTTTATAAAAAAAAATGCACATTTTTTCACCATTTTTTGCAGATTAAACGCTTGATATACAAATATCCTGTATTAAACTTTTTTGGTATTCAATGAATCAAAAGAAAAGGTTTTTCTCTTTCTAAAACAGCCACAAAAATGGGGGGTCGGTGTGCTTTTACTTTTACTATTTTAATCATATTGAACATTATAAAGTTGTACAGCAAAATTGAACCTGCTACATTTAAAAATGGTAACACAATGACAATTTAAGTGATCAATCTAGTGTCAAAAAAGGTGAAATTTTGCCCTTTGTGAAGCGCAAGAAATTCACATAAATACACTTTTTCAAAATGGCCGCCAAATTGATAATAATTTTTTTCAAATTCTTGTAAAAAATGTTCTACACACAACAGACATCTAGTTTTTTGACATGTTTTTCAGATGTGTGTTTGCTATTAAACCTATCATAATCTGATAAATATTACAAACACCCGTTACACCAGATCAAAACGAGACTTGAACGTGACTGAAACCTCAGAAGAGTACATCCTTAATCAATTGTCTTAATCCATATGCATATTTTAGTCCTAACATATAATCTAACGAAAAAGATTAAACGTCAAAAACAATGATTAATTTTAAGAGTGTATAACTTATTATTCATATTTCAAAATGCAGGCTATACTGTATTCACGTACATTGTATGCAAACTGACATTTAACGATTGTTCTGTAACTACTTTTACTATAAAATTACTGAGTTTTTAATAACAGTTCTTTATCTTACGACCATACACATCTATCGTCTGACTTGCTTAGATTGTTTGACTTCATGTACACTGACCTTGTGATGAAGTTTTGAGAATCTCATTGTCGATTCAGAGGATACATTTATTTAGATGGCGGTTGTTGTTAACCACGCGGAAGACGCTTACCCTTTTGGAACACCTGGTCTAAACTGTTTATTTTTCAAGGGCCTCCATGTTAATCTTTCCTTTCTTCCCATTTTGCTCGTGTTACATCGATTTTGAGTCTAAATTATCGTAACATCGACAATCTACGGATTAAAACTCGGCTAAAGGAAGAAAACACCCTTTCAACAGCGATTACAGCGATTGTCTACGACAGAAGACTTAAAAACACCATATTAATATGCCTACATACTCTTAAAATGAGTTTGTTGCGCTTAAAGCTGCGACAAATATCATCTTCACTCCACCCTACAATAGTCCTAGTGACATACAATCTTCTAGCCGTTCAATCTGTTAAGCATATCACACTGATCTCAAAAATGTGTAGGGCAGTTTAACTTTCACATTGAAAACATCGTTGCCGGCAAAAATCAGTTAGATCGTTCTGCTTCTTTTTATACAAAGTAACCTCGCTAGGAATACCTGTCCTTATGTATAAATAATTCAAACATATCTTTTTTCAATACGAATTTAAAAGTAAACTGACATATTTAGATAGGAAATGAAGGAAAAATACGTTGACTAAGAGGACAGGACAAGGTCCATTGATCCTGTATAAATGCTCTCCTAATAAAACGATGCAGATTGTGACTGGGATTCTACTCACAAGTCGGAAGACATGATTTTGACATGACTGACTATCCGCTTGATAATTAGCATAATATACAAGGATAAGGGGTGTGTTGAACAGTATACGATTGCAGCCAAGTCTAGACATTGACAATGAACTTAAATACCATTGGGAATATAAAATTCGTCTTGTAATATATACAACTCGACACTGAATGTTGATAATTGACTTTAAAGTTTGCGCGGTATTTCTCGAGTTCTATCTTATTTATACTATAGGGACCTGATAGTTAATTACAAAATCTACCGTCCAGATGTGTAGGGCAAGGAATATCATTGAACGTTTTAGGCGATAAACACTTTGTAATATGCTAACTACTCAATTGTCACTATGAAAAGTGCATGCTCGCTATCAAAGCCTAAACTGAACCCCGACTTCACTACACAGTATCATGTTTCTGGTTTGTATAAAAATGCTTGTTATCGTTGAATTTGTTTTTGTTATATCTTGTATATATACTTATATTCACACAAAATGTATTCTCTTTATCCGGCAGGATCTCCTTTCCTCCCGAAACACACCGCCTTTAGATGTTTAATGTTTTTGATAGTAATATTATATCTAAAAATCGGAATTACAATGAAGCACAGGGTCATGATTTATGTCCTGTAACATTCTTGGCTTGTTCAAACGATTAACCTTCGCCCAATTTGACTTTATTATTGGTAAAATGTTAAAAATATCTTAAAGCAACTTCTGATCAACCAAATACTTCAGATGACTGTTATTGGTCCCCTTTTAAGGTCGCAGACATAAAATATCTCAAATATATGAACTCCTTTTTCCAAAATGTTTAAGTTCATAATATTTGGCTTTAAGCCTGAAGGAGTGAATGACTATAAACGTCGTTCAAACTAATAGCCTTGATCCACTTCTAAGACCACACTGGTGCAAATGAGTGAAAATCTTGTTCTGTAAGATAAAGAAGCATATGATCACGATATTCTGCCTGTAATAAAGAATTCATGAGTTTGTTCAAACGAAGGTCATTTTCACCCTAAAAGCTACGTGTGTTACTTACGGGCTTGTTGTCTTTTAATCATGGCCAGATGCTGAATGAGAGAGTTCGCCCCAATTATAGTTTTATCGTCATTACACACGAATATGTTTACAGGCAGGTATCACGAGCGCGCTCACGTACAACTATATTCATCGTACAATTGAGGTGCGTCGAAACAGAATGTGAACAAAAATAATGGCTCTGTCTAATAAAAGCTCTATTTTTTTGTTCATGTGAAACAGGTTAACGGTGGAATGATCATTGTGCAGATGTGTGCAAATAATTGGATTAAAATAATTAGTAATCTCGATGTATATTTCCACACAGCTATTAAAGAGAAATTAAGCTCCGGGTAGTCCGGGTAGTCTCTATGTACTACAAAATATATCGACATATCGATAACATCAGTAAACTATTTATATTTAGATATCAGCTTTTTTGTCTTATTGCACTCTGTAGCGTAATCTAAATTGTTATGCATCTTTAATAACTAAAGATAAATTTCTATAAATCCAATTTGCATATCTGAATTCCTATGTTTAAACATGACTTATTTTGGGGTTAATTTAAGGCTTTCATGTGATTTGCTGAATTCAAAAATACATCATACTCATATTTCACAAAATATCAATAACCAACATACTAATTTAAGAGAGCACTTGGCCACAAAAAAAGACGCCGAGATAACATATTAAATATTTGCTCTAAAAGGAGTGCTGTGAATAGAACGTTTGTCTGATCAGGTGAGATTAGTTTTATAGCATTATATCCCTCGTTTGTCTATCGTTAAAGATTGAGTATGGCTTGGATATAGTAGTACATGTAGCACTATGTTGTATGGTATCTATGCGTGCCTTAATTCGCGATGAAAGAAGATAAATAGGTTGTTGCTTATATCCTCTATGCCATAAGAAGAGAAATCGCGAAAAGACTTTAAAAGTTAAGCATAGCATGTCACAAAAAACAGAATTTGTTGAGCTAATCAGCGGAAATGTTAGTACAATTGCAACTACGTTCCCTAAACCTAACTTGATCGACTAAAACTCACTCGTATGCACCACAGGTACATTTGTATACATGTATGTATATGTAAACCCGTTAATGTAGATAGGAAACTGCCAGATTACTTTATTTTTTGTAAAATAGTAAGGTAGATACGGAATGTATCGATTGCTACTTCACTAACAATAGTGTTTACCCAGGCAACATGAGTTCTGAGCACTTCAGAACACCAACTGTACAAATTGTAGCATTAAAATGAATGAATTACATTATAAACCCCGGGGTCAAACATACTGCAGTCCTCCTTAGATAATGATACACATTCTTATAATTTCTTATAATGATTACCGAAAACTGTTGGATATGGAAGGTTTGTACTGTAATCACGTTTAACATCGGGTAAAGTGTGACAGCGGCTTTGATTGATGGTACCGAAGTGTATAGAAACTGTGATACATTATTACACAAATTTAGAACGTTCCCCAAACGCTATATACATGTACGACCAGGTTTAGGTATTAATGGTGTCCGTTGAAGCACTGTAGTCTGACATATGTCAAGTATAGATGAATGATCCATCACCCTTTTTCAAAATGGTAATTGGGTAAGAAATAGGTGCTTTTAAATTTGAATTTATTCAAAAGAAGAACAGTCCTTACCATAGAGTTTTATTGAAAAAGCGTTTATGTTATGGCAGTTGGGAAAAATGGGATTGGCATATAATTTAGAAGCAAAAGGGTCGGAAGACACGTTTCCCATTATCACTGAAAGTGAAGACTGAGGGCTGAACATTCGATGCTGATCAATTATAAAATGTTAACGAGCTAGTGTACTCATGGAGAGGACAACGATCCATTCGACTATATATACAAACTGTGTAGATCAGTGCATGTTTCCTCACAGTAAAGGGGACCACTGTGAACTATACGTCCACAAAGCTGATACATGTAGCAATACCGACACATATTGCAGACTTGCATGTCAATACATGAAAACATAGAAACCAAATATCATACTTTTTTTCTTTAATTTTAGAAAAAAACACGTTTTTCTCCCAATGAAAGGCGGCGTTAAAAGACATAAAATATACTGATTAAATGTACTTTGACATATCCGGTCAGTTGAAATAGATTGTATGTTTCCCGTAAAGTATCTAAATCAGGTATACTGTCATTGGCAGTAAAACGCCATCCTAGTCAATTAGTGAGTACTGCGTTAGTTTCTCATTTCCTGTACAAAGTAATTGCTCTAATTGAATTATTCGTGAAGAGGGGACATGGAGTTGTCATAGTCTCTATGAACCCAATTGATCAGTAAGCCAACAGCCTCCGTTTACAGATGGCTATTTACGAACTTTAAAGACACGTGAGTTATATATTACCAAGATTAATGGAAAAAAACCACATACTTATTTAATTATTGATAAACTTTGCATCACATCGAACGAATTTGTACCAATGTTATTGTTTTCATAACTTTAACAACTGAAGCTACATAGCCAGCGACGCAGCAAGAGAATGTGTGGTTCATGTGCGAGGTTTTGCTGCACAAGAACAAAATACAAAAAAAAAAAAAGAAAACAAATTCAAAAAGTAATTATATCATAATCTGTATCACAAATGAGGATTTTTTGATAAATCGATATACAAAATTAAAATAGATTTTTGTTTCGAAAGTTCTTTAATTAAAAACTGTTCTTATTATACTTGCAAAGATATAGGGTCCGCCTTGGTAGGTCCCATTCATTAATTTTCACACGACTTAACTCCATCCCTTCCTGACAAAGTGTGACAATACGTGGCAACGATCCTGCCTCTTAACAACTTCTTGGTACTGGGTGATAAGGTAAAACCTTGAACCCACAATCCGACATTAACCGTGCATTTTTACGAGTGTAAGATGAAAGAGCTTGCAGTCGTGACGGAAGACGGTCTGATGTCGTTATTAAAAAAGAATAGTCATGCAAGAAAATAACCGGTTAAACGACTGTATGAATGTTTGTGTTCCCAAGAAGTTTGATTGTTGAAAAAAACCCAAATGAATGAATATTTGAGTCAATTTTATTTTTTTATTTTATTTCCGGGTTATTAAAATGTCTCGGGTGTAAATATTTCTCTTCGTACGATAATCAAATATTATACTCCAAACAGGCTTCATTATTTTAAAATTATAGGTACCGGAGTTATATAATAGTGGTCCTGATCTGATAAGATTATATCAGCAACACAACGGTAAAACAGAGTATCGTGTGGTTCTCACGCGCCCAAGTTTCCTCATTTATATTCTTCTTATATCCGGAGCTTGTCTAAAAGTAGCAAGGGGCCATGCGTCTGAGTGCCATGATACCGAAGCTAACGACAACAATGGCGTAAACTTGATAATATTTTATGTTTTGTTTTATTTTGTTATAAGATGATATTTATTGACCTTGTTGTATGGTAACACGATTCTTTGTTACACCGAGGTTTCTCAGGTTTAACACCGTTCTAAAATATCATAGAAAGTATCAAAATTGTAAACGGCACATTATTTGATAAAATATTTTAAAAAAGCAAACAAGCAAACAGCACATCAGACTCCCTGTAAACAGACTTGTTATATTTGTTTACAATGGGTAACTTTGCTCATCCTCATTGCTGTGCAAAATGATATCTGCTTTTTAAAATCTCAAACAAAAATGATTATCAAACAAACGTTAATGTTACACGAATCGCTGACAAACAATCATCTATTGTTATTCCAAGGTGTCCTATGCATCTACGTCACCCGCACTAAGTGAGAGAGAGAAATACAAAACGTTCTTTCGGCTGGCGCCAACAGACGCCGCAAACAACCCTGCACGCGCACTCTTCTTACAGCACTTCCGATGGAATGTTGTGGCAACTGTTTATGAAAACAAGGAGGAGTTCTATTTGGTTAGTACCGGTACCTTGGTAACATCTGCGTAATAGAATACACTGTAAATATACGGATTTCATTGATCTGCATCTTGGGATTGCAATTTAATTCCTTATATGTAACCATGGTTATAGCATAACGTTCATTAAATTGAGGAGAGTGTCACCTTTGATTCATTAATATGATGTCATAATAATGTGCACTTAAGGTATGTTGACATCTAAAGGGGAGTGCATCAGTTAATTGGTACTATTTCACTTGCAAGAAAATTTTGTTTAGAATACCGTAGTGGTATAATAATACATACCAAAAATCCATTAGCTCTCCTTTCTTCTATAAGTTTAACAAAATAAGTTTCAATAATTCATCTTTAATCAAGTATGTTACAAATCGATACTAAATTATTACTATTGTTATTCAAATTGTTTGCCAATGTACATTTTTCTTCAGGCAATGGCAGAACTTACACCCTTTCTGGAACAACACAACATATCGGTGAAGGTCACCGAATCTTTTGGAACAAAGAAAGGAGAGATCACAACGAAAATGAAATCACTAAAGGTAGGTCATTTATCACAAGATGTAGGTCAATTGTCACAAAATCACAAAAGGAAGGTTATTTATCATAAAATCACTAAAGGTATGTCATTTATTACAAAATCACTAAAGAGAGGTCATTTATCACAAAATCATAAGAGGTCATTTATCAAAATATCACTAGAGGTAGGTCATTTATCACAAAATCACTAATAGTATGTCATTTATTACAAAATTACTAAAGAGAGGTCATTTATCACAGAATAACTAAAGGCAGGTCATTTATCACAAAATCACTAATGGTATGTCATTTATTACAAAATTACTAAAGAGAGGTAATTTATCACAAAAAAGTAGGTCATTTATCACAAAACTATGAGAGGTCATTTATCACAAAATCACTAGAGGTAGGTCATTCATCAAACAATCACTAAAGGTAGGTCATTTATCACAAAATCACAAGATGTAGGTAATTTATCACAAAATCACTAGAGGTAGGTCATTTATCACAAAATCACTAAAGGTATGACATTTATCACAAAATCACTAAAGAGAGGTCATTCATCAAACAATCACTAAATGTAGGTCATTGATAACAAATCACTAAATAAAGGTAGGTCATTTATCACAAAATCACAAGATGTAGGTCATTGATCACAAATCACTAAAGGTAGGTCATTGATCACAAATCACTAAAGGTAGGTCATTTATCACAAAATCACAAGATGTAGGTCATTTATCACAAAATCACTAAAGGTAGGTAATTTCTCACAAAAACACTAGAGGTAGGTCATTTATCACAAAATACCTAAAGTATGACATTTATTACAAAATCACTAAAGAGATCATTTATCTCAACATCACTTAGGGTAGGTCATTTATTACAAAATCACTTAAGGTAGGTCATGAATCACAAAACCATAAGAGGTCTTTTATCAAAAAATCACTAAAGGTATGTCATTTATTACAAAATCACTAAAAAGAGGTAATTTATCACAAAATCACTCAAGGTAGGTCATTTATCCAAAAATCAATCAAGGTAGGTCATTTGTTACAAAATCACTAAAGAGAGATAATTTATCAGAAAACCATAAAAGGTCATTTATCAAAAAAGCAATAGAAATAGGTCATTTATCACAACATCACTCAAGGTAGGTCATTTATCACAAAACCATAAGAGGTCTTTTATCAAAACATCACTAAAGATATGTCATTTATTACAAAATCACTAAAAAGAGGTCATTCAATCACAAAATCACTATAAAGGTAGGCCTCATGAATCACAAAATCTCTACAGGTAGGTCATTTATCACAAAAACACTAAAAGTATGACATTTATTACAAAATCACTAAAGAGAGGTCATTTATCACAAAATCACTCAAGGTAAATGCAGGTCGATTATCACAAAACCATAAGAGGTCATTTATCACATCACTTAAGGTAGGTCATTTATTACAAAATCACTTAAGGTAGGTCATTTATCACAAAACCATAAGAGGTCTTTTATCAAAAAATCCCTAAAGGTGTGTCATTTATTATAAAATCACTAAAAAGAGGTAATTTATCACAAAATCACTTAAGGTAGGTCGTTTATCACAAAACCATAAGAGGTCATTTATCAAAGAATCACTAGAAATAGGTCATTTATCACAACATCACTAAAGGTAGGTCATTTATCACAAAAACACAAAAGGTAGGTCATTTATCACAAAAACACAAAAGGTAGGTTATTTATCATAAAATCACTAGAGTTAGGTAATTTATCACAAAATCACTAAAGGTTGGTCATTTACCACAAAATCACTAAAGGTTGGCCATTTTTCGCAAAATCACTGAAGGTTGTTCAGTTATCGTAAAAACATTAGAGGTTGGTTATTTATCACAAAATCACCCAAGGTAGGTAATTTGTCACAAAATCACCCAAGGTAGGTCATTTGTCACAAAATCACTAGAGGTTGGTCATTTACCACAAATTTACTAGAGGTAGGTCATTCATTTATTACAAAATCATTAAGGGTTGGTCATTCGTCACAAATATGTGAAAAAAACACCCCACCGACACGCTTCCTTGTAATACATTTTCTTCGTATTGAACTCATATTTTATTTCGATCAAAGCACAAACAGAAATTATCAAATACGTTCGAGATGAATTGTCCGGTTAACTGAGGACAATCTGATGCAGATATGAAAACCTACCTCAACAATAGCCTACTTTGTATATGATAAAACTTTGTGGACACTATAAACGTTTTTGCCAGTCACTTTGAATATTTTGTGTCTTTTCACAGGATTCGGACGCAAGGATAATTATAGGCGCGTTCTCTGAGCCTGCTGCGAGGCAAGTGTTGTGTGAGGTTTGTTTTTACTCTCCCCGACGCTTTAACATCCTTGTTTGTGTAAACATTTGATCTTGTTGGTATTCTGTTTTACTTACAATCACATTCTTTGTATTATAATACTTATATGTATGTTCTGTAAACATTTTCTTTAGGTCGTATCAACAATACGTGAAGAAACCTCTGAAATCTTTTCCTTAAGATAACGTTAACTTATGTCTTACAACTAATCTGCCTTTTATATCACACTACGTTCTATGTCATCAACGTTTATTTAGTCCTAATTTAACGAGATCTTTAATCTAATGGTGCCATAGCATCAGAATGTGATATAATGACGAATCATCTTCGTTTGTGCTTTTATTAAAATTATATTTGAAATATTTATGCAAAATTTTGTGAATAACCTGACAAAGTACATGCTGCCCACACACAAACAGTGCAATGCTCTACCATGACTGTATTTCAACATAAACTTGTCATGAAAAAGCATGGTTTGTAGGGATTCCGGCCTTATCACACCTCCATCATTTAATCTCCACACGGCTTCTCATTTTGTTAGAATAGTAAAAACTCGTGTACGTTAAAGTACAGGAAACTGTTAATCCATCAATATCGAACCCTCCGTGTACAAGGTTGCTGTAGATAGTAACAGTATTGATAGTGACTCTGAACACGTTACAGCATTAGTAATGTAGGAGCTGGGAGGAAATGTCACAGTCCCGGGGAATTTGGACGTGATTGTTGAAATAAAAATGTCTGTGCAGTCACGGGGTTCGGAAGTACACGTGAACTGTTGATGCTCATTGACAGTCCCCTTTATCTTAATTATAGGGACCGTACGGCGTCTTCAAATCAATATTTTAAACTTATGAATTCTCGCCCCATGTTCAAGCCTCGAACATATCGTGTAAAAGTGGCTAAATAGCTATTCAATGTTACCAGGCATTCGTATTACAAGTGATATGCTTTTCAGAATCAATGAATGGAATGACGTCATGACTTTGAGCGTTAGTCAGTGAATATCATCAATGATGTTTCAAACCATAATTGATTAAAGTGCATAGCCTCATACACTTATCAGTTTGTATTAACGTCGAAATTCCTTAGTTTTGGTAAGAGGACAAGACAAGAACAATTGTAGAAGGTGGATAACTATTGTAGTCTCGGTGGTATACAATGTAGTCTCGGTGGTATACAATGTAGTCTCGGTGGTATACAATGTAGTCTCGGTGGTATACAATGTAGTCTCGGTGGTATACAATGCCGTAATGTTTTCAAAAAAATACTGTCCTAGTTCGTGGAGTTTGGTCTGGATTCTTGGACGATTTCCAATTCTAATTGCACTATAGGGAACAGGGTAATTGTAGTGACTTTTGTCTATAACATTGCATCGTGTTGTTTAATCGCACGCCCTGTCATTGAGCGTCCCAGGCAGGCATAGTATTAAAGTCGGGTTATTGACTGAAAATGGGTTTTATCAAAGGTCAAGCTTTATTTATTTAGCGTGCCGGTTTGATTTTGTTTGAAAAGTCAGTCTTATCTTACTCTATAAATCTTTTAAAGTTTGTAAATGTTATATGTCCATGGTTGATCGTTACTTTGTATTTTAAATTTTTAAAATATTGCACCCTATTTTCAATTAAAGTTCAAATATCTTAAGTGTGTCCTTCATGGTTAAATTCTATAGAAACTGCAAAGCAGCTTTACCCCATAACACCATCAGCTACCTGGCATGGCTTTATATAAGTTCTTAGGCATCGATATGTCACCATGTTAATCGTAGCACAGTTCATCGTTTCGCGAAAACTACAAATTCCATTGGTCTATAGTTAGCACATGAGGCAGTTTATAATATATATGAATAATTACCGTAATGAATTGAATTACGAACATAGACTATTTGTGTTAAGTAGGATAGAATGATGACACTTTTTATGGTAAACAACAAAATACAATTTTAAGAATACGTTTTCAATCACTCAGTAATAACAAAAGTGTATTAGTACAGTACATGTAACTGAATACAGGCTTAGTACAAGTCAGAAACTGATGACATGGGTAACAGCTGTTCATTACGGGACAGTATATAACAAAATGATAATTACGATTAATAATATAGTCAAAGAAGGTGGATTTCAAATCGATGTTAATTTGATTTGTTTGGGAACTAATTTCCGTCTTCATAATGCCATTTAATCAAATTAAATTTACTATCCTAGGACTCTGTAAACGCATAGTTTATGTACATTTTGTATATTACCGTCTCTCACTGCGTCATAGAACAGCAAATAGTTATTACATTATCTCAGAACATTTTGACCTATATATTCCGAAGACATGACACACTGACATATATATTTATATCGGAATACCATGAACATTTTACGAGATGAAACAAAGCTTGAACGAAAATCTGAATCAAAATATTTTTCTCTCTGTTTATCATATTTTTAATACCAACACGCAAACCTGTGATGTCCAACAAGTAGGCAATGGATTTCCTATACAGCTTACTTGAAACAATCTGCAAAGAAAGACATCTCTTACAATATCTGGGCGAACACAGATGTCAGTCAGTACACATAGCCGCTATATATCATTTACAGCAATTGTCGAGCCGGACTATATTTAGACGGAACAGGAAAGCTTGACTAGCCAAACATATCCTGATGGCTCCCCGCGAGTAGACTACGAATCAACGAAGATTTCCTGACATTTCCGCAACTCTAAATGCTTTAACAGAAAATCATCGTCTATTAATATGTTTTCATCGGGGTTTTTTTCCACTGGAATTCTAACATTTAAAGATGACGTCATCTCGAAATATATTCTTCCGTATGTTAATAAAACTTTTTTCTGACCTCATCGACGGTTACAAACTGTTTATTATAATGCTTTCTACATATTACCATTACAGTGTATTAATGCGACCTCTACAAACTGACTATACCAGGGTTTCGCTGTCATCTATACAAATTAGTTATACCAGGGTTTCGCTGTCATTTATACAAACTGACTATACCAGGGTTTCGCTGTCATCTATACAAATTAATTATACCAGGGTTTCGCTGTCATCTAAACAAATTAACTATACCAGGGTTTCGCTGTTATCTATACAAATTTATTATACCAGGGTTTCGCTGTCATCTATACAAAATAATTATACCAGGGTTTCGCTGTCGTCTATACAAATTAATTATACCAGGATTTCGCTGTCATTTATACAAATTAACTATACCAGGGTTTCGCTGTCATTTATACAAACTGACTATACCAGGGTTTCGCTGTCATCTATACAAAATAATTATACCAGGGTTTCGCTGTCGTCTATACACATTAATTATACCAGGCTTTCGCTGTCATTTATACAAATTAACTATACAGGGTTTCGCTGTCATTTATACAAATTAATTATACCAGGGTTTCGTTGTCATTTATACAAATTAATTATACCAGGGTTTCGCTGTCATCTATACAAATTAATTATACCAGGGTTTCGCTGTCATCTATACAAAATAATTATACCAGGGTTTCGCTGTCGTCTATACACATTAATTATACCAGGATTTCGCTGTCATTTATACAAATTAACTATACCAGGGTTTCGCTGTCATTTATACAAATTAATTATACCAGGGTTTCGCTGTCATTTATACAAATTAATTATACCAGGGTTTCGCTGTCATCTTTACACATTAATTATACCAGGGTTTCGCTGTCATTTATACAAAGTAACTATACCAGGGTTTCGCTGTCATTTATACAAATTAATTATACCAGTGTCTCGCTGTCATCTATACAAATTTATTATACCTGTCATCTATACACATTAATGATACCATGGTTTCGCTGTCATCTATAAAAACTGACTATACCAGGGTTTCGTTGTCATTTATACAAATTAATCATACCAGGGTTTCACTGTCATCTATCCAAATTAAGTATACCAGGGTTTCGCTGTCATTCATACAAAGTAACTATACCAGGGTGTCGCTGTCATTTATACAAATTAATTATACCAGGGTTTCACTGTCATCTATACAAATTAAGTATACCAGGGTCTCGCTGTCATCTATACAAATTAATTATACCAGGGTTTCGCTGTCATCTATACAAATTAATTATACCAGGGTTTCGCTGTCATCTATATAAATTAATTATACCAGGGTTTCGCTGTCATCTATACACATTAATGATACCAGGGTTTCGCTGTCATTTATACAAATTTATTATACAAGGGTTTCGCTGTCATCTATATAAATTAATTATACCAGGGTTTCGCTGTCATTTATACAAATTTATTATACAAGGGTTTCGCTGTCATCTATACAAATTTATTATACCAGGGTTTCGCTGTCATCTACACACATTAATTATACCAGAGTCTCTCTGTCATTTATACAAATTTATTATACCAGGGTTTCGCTGTCATCTATACACATTAATTATACCAGGGTTTCGCTGTCATTTATACAAAGTAACTATACCAGGGTTTCGCTGTCATCTATACAAACTGACTATACCAGGGTTTCGCTGTCATTTATACAAATTTATTATACCAGGGTTTCGCTGTCATTTATACAAATTAATTATACCAGGGTTTCGCTGTCATCTATAAAAATTAATTATACCAAGGTTTCGCTGTCATCTATACAAATTAATTATACCAGGGTTTCGCTGTCATCTATACAAATTAATTATACCAGGGTTTCGTTGTCATCTTTACAAATTAACTATACCAGGGTTTCGCTGTCATTTATACAAATTTATTATACCAGGGTTTCGCTGTCATCTATACACATTAATTTAACCAGGGTTTCGCTGTCATCTATACAAATTAATTATACCAGGGTTTCGCTGTCATCTATAAAAACTGACTATACCAGGGTTTCGTTGTCATCTATACAAATTTATTATACCAGGGTTTCGCTGTCATCTATACACATTAATT